AAAAAAAAAAAAAAAAAAAAGAAAATAACCTAAAATATATTACTTTGATAACTGAAAAAAAGTTTCAGGTTTTAATGAAAGATCTATTTATTAATCTTAATTCTTAACTTGCATTAAAATATATCTATATCTATCTATCTATATACATATAATTAAATATTGAAACCTTAATATCTAAGATGTATTCAGTAACACATCTACTGAAAACCCATTTACTAAGCAAATTAGCAGCCAGTTAGCCAAGGAGCACTCAGTCTTAAGACCTGAAAGAGAAACAGAAATACTTCAAAAGTAGAGTAGTAGGAAGTTCAGAAAAATACAGCAATTTAGGCAGATAGAGCAGCATGCAGAATAGCACAGAATTTTGAAAGAATGTGAAAGTTGCAGGAATAAGATAATTCACAATAGGTAGAGCACAGCGTGTATCTGTGAGGGATGAGGATGGGAAGATAATGGTGAGAGATGAAGCTAGAAATTCAGTTTGAGCAATAATAAGGATTTTATGCTAAGGAGTTTTGATGTGATTTGATATTTTAAAGGCAGTCAATAAAATTTCTGTGTTTTAGAGAGACAGCTTTTGCAACTGCAGAACAGCTGAAGCTGGAGAAAAGGAAACTGGATGGGAGGTTACAAAACAACAGTTCAGGTAAGGAGTAAGCAGATGAACTAACGGAGTGGTAGGGAGAAGAGAAATGCTATTGAAGACTCAAAAAAAAGTTCGAAAAATGATTCAAATTACCTTTTATTTAGTTTAATACTTAAGACTTTTCTATTTTGAAAGACTGAAGAGTTGAGCAATACACTTTAACCTGTATAAACTCTTGAAAGACATAAGATTTTAAAGATAATATTTTGTCCCTAGGGAAAACTTACTACTCTTGTCATGTTATACAAGAGGAAGTAAGGCATAAGAAGTGACAAAATGCATTTTTATTTTATTTATTTTATTATTTATTTATTTATTTATTTATTTATTTTGAGACGGAGTTTCGCTCTTGTTACCCAGGCTGGAATGCAATGGCGCGATCTCGGCTCACCGCAACCTCCACCTCTTGGGTTCAGGCAATTCTTCTGCCTCAGACTCCTGAGTAGCTGGGATTACAGGCATGCGCCACCATGCCCAGCTAATTTTTTTGTAGTTTTAGTAGAGACGGGGTTTCACCGTGTTGACCAGGATGGTCTCGATCTCTTGACCTCGTGATCCGCCCACCTCGGCCTCCCAAAGTGCTGGGATTACAGGCGTGAGCCACCGCGCCCGGCTCATTTTTATTTTAAAAACATTTTTTTTAGAGACAAGGTCTCACTCTGTCACTCAGGCTGGAGTGCAGTGGCTTGATCATAGCTCACTGTAATGTGGAACTCCTACTTCTGAAGGGATCATTCCGCTTTGGCCTTCCAAGTAGCAAGGGCTATAGGGTTGTACCATCATGCACTCAGCTAATTTTTAAAAATTGTTTTGTAGAGACAGGGTCTCATTATATTGCCCAGGCTCGTCTTGAACTCCTGCCCTCCATCAATCCCGCGATCTTGGCCTCTCAAAGCACTGGGATTACAGGTGTGAGCTACTGTGCCCTGTCAAAACATGTAGTTTTGATAATATAGAAATATGATAAATTTTCACTAAAAAATGGACTTGGAACACAGTCAACACCACCCAAAAAAAAAAAAAAAAAAGGAAACAAAACAAAAACCAACCCCAGGTAAGTTGATTTGGCAAAATTCAAAACTTTCGTGCAAAAGACACTATCAACAGAGAAAAGGCAACAAACATAATGGAAGAAAATATCTGCAAACCATATATCTGATAAGAAAATGATATTAAGAATATATAACTCCTATAACTCAACAACAAAAATAACAACCTGATTCAATTAAGCAAAGGACCTGAATAGCCATTTCTCCAAAGAAGATATATAAATGCAAAATAAGCACATGAAAGTATGCTCAACATGGTGAATCATTAGGAAATCAAAACCACAATGAGATACCAGTTCACACCGATTAGGATGGTAATTACAACAACAACAACAACAACAGAAAATTAACAGGTATTGGTGAGAATGTGGAAAAGATCAAATCCTCAGGCACTGCTGGTAGAAATGTAAAATGGTATAGGTTCTGTGGGAAATGGTATAGCAGTTTCTTAGAAAATTAAACAACTACTATATGATCCAGCAATCTCACTTCTATGTACTCAAAAGAAATAAAAGCAGGGACTGAACAGAAATTTGTACACCTGTGTTCACAGCAGCATTATTCACAATAGCTGAAACATGGAAGCACTCTAAATGTCCATCAATGAATGAACAGATAAAAAATGTGGTATATTATTCAGCTTTAAAAATTAAGAAAATTTGGACATATACTACAACATGAATGAACATTGAGAACATCAAACTAAGTGAAGTAAGCCAGTCACAAAAGGACAAATACAGTCACACATCTCTTAACAATGGGGTTATGTTCCGAGAAATGCATTGTTAGGCAGTTTCAACATGCTAATATCACAAAGTGCACTTACACAAACTTACATGGTATAGCTTACTGTATGCCTAGTCTATATGGTATAGCGTATTGCTCCTAGACTACAAACCTGCACAGCATGTTACTGCACTGGGTACTGTAGGCAATTGTAACACAATGGCCAGTATTTGCATACCTAAACATAGAAAAGGCACAGGAAAAGTATGTTATAAAAGATAAAAATAGTATACCTGTATAGAGCACTTACCAAGAATGAAGCTTGCAGGACTAGAAGTTGCTTTAGGTGAGTTAGTGAGTAGTGAATGAATGTGAAGTCCTAGGACATACACTACTGTAGACTTTATAAACACTGTGTACTTAGGCTACAAAAAATTATAAAAAATGGTTTCTGAGCCGGGCGCAGTGGCTCACGCCTGTAATCCCAGCACTTTGAAAGGCCAAGGCGGGTGGATCACGAGGTCAAGAGATCGACACCATCCTAGTCAACACAGTGAAACCACGTCTCTACTAAAAACACAAAAATTAGCTAGGCGTGGTGGTGCGTGTCTGTAGTCCCAGTTACATGGGAGGCTGAGGCAGGAGAATTGCTTGAACCC